GGATGTGTGCAGTACAGTATGTACCATGTAAGGTGTGCATTCATGCGAGTCACTTACTGGTTTGGACTGGATTTCTTTGGCATAGAGGGGTTGGAGGAACTCAGAGTCCCCCTCCAGTTTCAGGCCCTTCTCTGTTATTCTGAGGTTTCCCATCCCATCCTGTGCAGGAGACAGACACGCTCTCAATTAGGACATTATCTTCACATACATATGTTATTTTTATTTCTACATCCATCCAAATTGCATTACAGCAAATACAGCAAATAGGTGTTGATGCTGCTGGAGCACAATCACTGCAACAATTACTGCTTGACAGTCTGGTATCAACAAACAGCATATTGCACTCATTTAACATGAAAGTGTAATAGTTGTGATTAAAAATGCAAAGCCCAGGGTTCACTTTCTAGATCTGCATTTATTAAAATAACCCCAAATGATGGGAAAACACAGATCTGTGCGAGCTAAGGTGAAACACTCATTTTCCCAGAATCATCTGAGTCTGCATGCAGTTACATAAAAACAGCTTCACGGGATTCAAGGAGGACATACAGACGATATGGTAACACGATGAATTCGACCTTTATGTGTATTTTCTTCTTGTTCCAAACATCGAGTCTGAGCGTTTACAGGCGCTAACCCTCTGCAGGCTGCTGTCTCCGTGCATTCTGTGCCAATATGGGGCTCAACCTTGAACAGGACTTGCTGTGTGTGTCCAACACCTGCCACTTTATTTCTGACACCTGCAGCTTGATAACAAGCACCTGGTATTTATCTATATGGCAAGATGGCTGCGTGCGGGGGAAAAAATTAAACATCACACGCACACCTGATGGTGTGAGGTGTGTTATTTTGTTTCACACTCACAGAGATACAAACTAAATACTGTACACAGAGCATATTAGACAAATTAAACTGTATCTCTGGGTGAGCAGCTCCTCTAATCTCTTCTAATCTTTATTTAATGCAGTGATATTGGTTGAGACTTGACTTCAGCATTAGTAATACAAACTAAGCCATAGGCTAACACGATGTGCAGAATTCATACATACAATTGAGCAGTTTGTTTAGATATTTACAGCAAAAGGGTGTTCAGTATGTAACTGCAGCCAATGCAAACTGACCAGAATGCCTCGAAGAACTGAATATGCAAATGACATGAGGGATATTTCCATTTCAAAGCGGGATTCTGTGATTTGCATTCAATATTGTGCCAGAAATGTTAAGTTTATGCCAGGAAATAGCAGAGACAAACACTTTAACAATTCAGATGGTCAGAAAACACATTAACCTATCGGTTTTATCGGAGACTGGTGTGTGATCTGGTTCTTCAGTGCAGGAAAGACAGTCACAAATCGCCCAAAATACAGCTGCACACTGTGCACCGCAGTGCTCCTGCAGAACTTATATTTAAAACACAAGTTTAAAAAATTGAATGTGAATAGAGTCAAATTTGATTCGCGAGTTGGCAAGACAACTTTGACCACATTACACGCAATGCACAGACTCTATAAGCAGGCTGTGAAAACAGGAGATAAACATTCATGTTGTAAAATGTCATCTTAATGTGGTTGGTTAAATGGTACGCATCAGTCCCACAGGTCTACAGAGCAGCTGGTGAACACCTGGCAACCCCTGGTCATCCGGTTGGCGAGTGCTGGAGGTTGTTGCTAAGCACAATGTAAGAAAGTGCTGCACCAAAACCTCAAACTTTTTGCATGTAAAGTTGCTCTAGTAGAGTCAGGGAACAGTGAAAGCCAAATGAGTCTAGTTTCTGTGCATTTAAAATATGACTTTGTTAAAATAGATTGTTTGTGTATGTGTGAATGTCTTAAATAATCAGGCCCCATCTTATCTTAATGATCTTGTAGTACCATATCACCCTATTAGAGCACTTCGCTCTCGCTCTGCAGGCCTACTTGTTGTTCCTAGAGTATTTAAAAGTAGAATGGGAGGGAGAGCCTTCAGTTTTCAGGCCCCTCTTCTGTGGAACCAGCTTCCAGTTTGGATTCAGGAGACAGACACTATCTCTACTTTTAAGATTAGGCTTCAAACCTTCCTAAACAAAGACCCACAGTTGAAGCTGCATTTTGTTTTCTTATATTAAGATATTGCAGAGATACTAAATGTGTAGTTAAAGACAGACAGAAGACAGAGAGGGGAGTTTCACTTGTCCCGTCCACTTAAAGTGGATCAAAGCGAGCTGCACGTGTCTCACCACTTAAATGAGTTTGACATCGCTGCGATAGTTTGAATGTAGCGTTACGCAGTGATGCTGTAGGACTACATGTGCTCATGCAAAATCTTTCTGGAAGCCACAAACATAAACTCATTAACAGTTGTGCAATTACTGCAAAGCTCCTTCCTAAACCAGTGGTGAGAGATTCCTAACTTAATGACAGCACGACTCCACACCTGCTGCTTCTGTCACCCCAACCGATTGCAGCAGATGGCCCCGCCCCTTCCTCAGCCTGGTTCTGCTGGAGGTTTCTTCCTGTTAAAAGGGAGTTTTTCTTTCCCACTGTCGCCAAAGTGCTTGCTCATAGGGGGTCATTTGATTGTTGGGTTTTTCTCTGTATGTATTATTCTAGGGTCTACCTTACAATATAAAACACCTTGAGGCGACTGTTGTTGTGATTTGATGCTATATAAATAAAATGGAATTGAATGTGTGGAGAACACAAGAAAGAAAGTTCAATACCAAAGTATTATGGAGGGAAGTCTGACTTCTTTAAATAACAAGCTAACGGAAAGTAAAACTCGCCAATCCAGAGTAAAAATTCGTTTTAGTGTCGACTCTTTCAGGATCCAAGAAACAAGTTCAGACTCTCGAAGTCCATTTACAAAACCTGAACCCACAAATGCTCATGGATACGAAACACCTGATTGGTAAATTAAGCAAGTTAAGGTGGCACAGGGCAAATACTTTACATTCTCAACAGAATCTGTGCAAACATATCTGCAAAAGTGAAATTACAAGAAATTAGTCACAAAGCAAATTCTCAAGTGCTTCGAAGGAGCACAAAATCCTGTCAAGGTATCTGAAACTAAACCACATCTGTTACACTGTCAGATTGTTATAAATACAACAGAAGTTGCCAGTCATTCGAAGGTATTGCAGCCGGGTTACAGAGGCTTCTGTTGCCTCCGCCTGTCTACAAAGCAGAGACCAAAGGATATTAACCATTGAAGATAAGAGGAGATTTGGTGAGAGATCTGCTATTGAGCTGCTTTGATTCAAACACAACGGGCTCAGCTGACCCTTCACTTTCCATCCAGTCATTATATATATTATATGAGATTACTCACTGGATTGTCTCCAGATAACAGAGTGTGATAGTGAAATAAAGAAAAGAGAGAAAAAAGCCAGCTATCTGCTCATGTGATCTCCTCCTGCAAAGACTCTTCTTTTTGTTTTCCCTCCGTCTTTTGATCCCCGGTTCCAACGAGCAAATGGAGATCAGGACCCTTGAAATCCCAAAGTAACTGAGGATGGTTTGCAAGCCTCCTCCATGTAATCCGTCCCCCCGCTGTGCAAAACGTATTAAAATTCTGGCACCGCTGCAGAAACGAAGAGGTGAGTCCTGGACGTGTCACGACTGCGAATTATCCCCTGGTGGAAATCAGCGGGGCCGTTAGCGAAGGCCCACAGATGTCATTTAAACTCAATCCCTGAAACTTTGATGACGAAAGCCAACGGTAAGAAATAAGATGTGTTTATTTTCCGTCTTCTACATTTTTCAGGAGCACAGGTACTCTAAGGGGTAACCAGAGATTCATGCGATGCATGTTTACTGAAATGTCCAGCAGGGGTTCGGCCCAGCGGAAGGTTTAAAATCCCTGAAGATGCATAAAGCTTAAAAATGTTGTGCTTCAGACAGTTCAGAATCTCTATTTCTACATTTCATACATTTTCTCCTCTGCTGAGATATCAGAATACACTCTTTCTCAGTAGGCCGACATTTAGATAAACAACTTACATGGATTTGCTTCTTTAAAACACAATGGTTTAATGTTGAGGTTCAGAAAAATCCAAACTTAATTATGGGATAAAATAATCAAATAAACTGACTCTGATGGACTTTTCGGCTTCATCAGAAATTAATGTAAAGTCCATTCAAGAGCCAGCAATCATACTGATGGCAGTGTCACCACCAGGGGTGTAATGATTAAGGTTATACCTGAGTTTTGTGCATTTCTGTAACTTTATTTTTTGGTTATGATCCAGTCTCATTCAAGTGGCCGAGCCTGAGGAAAAATTATTTTATGAACTCTATTATTCTGATATATTTCCGGTTTACCATCAAAGCCCCCCCACGCCTAACTATTAATTAAAAAGCATGAGGTCATAGTTTATTAGACTATACCTGCAATCAGACTTTATGGAATTTCTGTAGCTTCAGGGTCTGATAAGTACGGAGCCTCTCTGATGACATGGTCCAAAAAATAAATAAATTGTGGCCACAAAATACTACTTCGTGCCCTCGAAATACTTATTTGTGGCCACGCAATACTATTTCGAGGGCACAAAATAGGTATAATGTGCGCACAAAATGCTAATTTGTGGGCACGAATTGGGAATAACGTGGCAACGAAATAGATAACGTGCGCACAATCATATTGATACAATTCCTGGACAGCTGCGTAGAGACATAAGCATGAGAGTAGGCTAAACCTATACACCGTGGACAGAGACAGTCTGATTGACTTTTATTTTAGGCTGGGAATGAGCTAAAAAAAAGGAAAAAGCCTGCAATGCAAGGAACCATTATTACGGAGAGACATTTAAACAGTTGCTTTACAGACGTAAGTACGACCTGGACGCCGGGATAGATTTTATTGTGAACCAACTGCAAGGGCCTGGGAAGGATCACGGTTATCGGTCAAGTGTTTCGTGGGCACAAATAAGTATTTTGTGGCCACAATTTATTTATTTTTAGGACCATGTCATCAGAGGGGCTCCGTAGATAAGTGATGTGGATGTGCCCGAAACCTTCATTTTTCTTTTTATGTGACCACCGGGGGCAACGCCTGTGGCATTGGGGTCTATGGGAAAATGGCCGTTGCTCTTAATGCGCAGTAAACATTTTCATGACCAGTTCAATTGCTTGTTTTAAGACTTATTATATAAGTTTATTTTGTGAATTATAGTCCCTAATACA